TTGGAGAAAAGACTGGGTCCAGGGCTGGGCCAGGGCAAGTTATCAGTATGATTCCAACTTATTGGGCCAAGAGATCAACAGAGCTGAGTAACAAATCGAATGGCATCTAGATCTTGGTCTCGTAGTACAACAACCCTCACCCCACCGAAAAGGAGCCAGGGCTCCTTGGAGAAAAGACTGGGTCCAGGGCTGGGCCAGGGAAGGTTCATGGTGAGATTGGTACTTTTCGTTGTATCGAAGTAGTGACTCACTGCCATCTACTTGATAACCACTTACAGAAATATGTGCAGGGTTTCCGAGACTAAGTCTTTTCAGAAGCAGGCAGCCTCATCCTGTGGAGCAGCTGGTTGGGTTTAAACCTTCCGTCTTGGGAGCTTGAAGCTAGCAGCTCAACACATAACCCACAGCACCACAAAGGGCCCCTTATAAAGGAGTGGCATACCCCCCAAATGATGGAGATGATAAAAGGACACAGGAGCCAGCTTGAAGGGATTCTCACTGGCCGAGTCTGGGAAAATCTGAGTATGCAAATGATTAAGCATAGCGACAGACTAAAACCCATTAATCAAACAGGAATCCATAAGTCCATATTGATGACAAAAAGACAAATAAACCAACGATGGGGGAGGAAGAGCGCTCCCTCGCAGGAGAAGGTGCACTGAGAAGTATGGGAGAGACAGTGAGCCCCAAAATGACCATCGTATGAAAGGTTCACCGTTCAGCTGAGACCCAACCGTGGGTGCTAACCCTCAAGGCATTTGTAGGCTCTTATCTTGCCCCCACCCCTACCTGCAGGTTGTGTATTAGATCCAAGGAGGGGAGAGACTGAGTGTACAATGGGGAAACAGGGTTGTCCATCGGCAGAGGGGTCCAAGTGAGCCTCACCGTGTGATGCCCTGAGCGGCTCATACCACCCTGTGCACGGTATTTCGACGGCACTGAATCGAATCGCCAGGAAACCTCAGGCAAGCTGAGAGAGGCACATCCTTCACTGCATGTACCAGCCTCACGAAGAGGAAGGCAGGCTGAGGGAGCACGAGCAGACCACAGACACCACCAAGAGCCTCAGGGGTCCTACCGGGTCAGAGCTGGACTGCTGACTGCAAGGGGGTCTGTGGTTTAAACCCCCAGCCGCTCCCCAGAAGAAAGATGGGGCTGTCTGCTCCAGCCCTGGAGCCACAATGCAGGGCGGCTACGGTTGGAATGGGCCCGACGGCCGTGGAAGAGAGACAACTAAAAGCAACACAAGATGGGAACCTGGACTAGAGGGCGAACATGCCTTACTGGGGCAATTGACAAAACAGGGACTTGGGTCCTGGATGGTAGTTAAAAGAACCGATTTGCCTGACTGTAACCCATGGAAATAGCGTTAACGTAGGAGAATGCCCTTATTCTTATGAAATCTAAACAGACGAATTAAAGATAAGAAGGCACAGATTAATATAACCTACTCTCAAATGGCTGGGCAAAATTAACCTGAAGACACGCAGGCCGATCCTAAATGTGGACATGCAGATTGGCGTTGTTAGGCGCCGGTGAGCCTGTTCCGACCCATAGGCACCCTCTGCGCCACCTAAGGGCGCACTGCTGGGTCCTGCACCAGCTCCTCCTCCTCCTGGCTGAGCCACTGTTGCAGTTGCTGTGTCCTCCATGTCCTCGATGGCCTTCCTCGTCCCCCTGACCCTCGACTTTGCCAAGCGTGGTGTCCTTTTCCAGGAAATACAGACAGAGGACCCGTTTCAACACACAGCCACCCTATCGACAGGCCAAGGGAAGATGCCCTTGATGACATCATGGATACTTGCTGTGTTGCTGGACCGTCTTGTTGTTACCCGGGAGACAAGGACAGCAGTACGGGAAATGTAACAAAATCTCTACATTGGCAAATCTAGACAACCGGTCAGCGGTTCTACTATTCCTGCAGCTCAGTTGTCAGACTGAAACCGTTTCCGAGCAAAAAAGGTTTAAAAGTTTCTGTTTTAAGAGAAGCTCACTGGGAATGCATTAAAATGGTAATAGACTGTCTCTGGGTAATGGGGCTATGGACGATTTTTATTTCTAATTGTAATCGCTGAACGTAAATTGCTTTGGAAAATGAACATCCCATGTAATACACAGGAGTGCCTTCCATTTTTTAAAATGTATTTTAAGTAAACTATAAGCTGGTCTGTAACCTGGGTGGTCGACCATCCTCTGTACCGTTGGCACCTGGCCTAGTGTACAGCCCTAGCAGGAGCTGCACAAAGCACCAGCCGGGAGAATGAGTGACTGGGCGGACGGGCAGCCAGGGGGCCTCGAGGTGTCTTGGAGCGAGTGGAACTCAGGCTGGGCTTTGAAGAGTGAGGTGGCTCTGAAAGGACCAGCAGCGTGCCAGTTGGCACAGTCCAGAGAGGGTGCAGGAAACGCACCAAGAGGGGCAGAGGTGAGGGCCTGGGTGGAGCAGCCGGTTCAGTGGACCTGATGTCCTCCGCAGGTTGGCTCGTTCTGTCCCAGTCCTCTTCAGTCCTCGCGTGCCACTCTCGGCCACGGCCGCACTCTCGGCCACGGCCACACGGTCCCCGTGAAAGCATACTGCTCCACAGATCTCTGCAAACCCTCCAGGGCTGGGCCCCAGCAACCTCACAGTGAACAAGTCCCCAGACGCCATCAGGCAAGGCCAACAAGTAAACAATCGCAAAACACAGCGAGTAAGCGGTGCTTAAACGAGGCGTCACTAAGCACAGCGGGGACAGGCAGATTACGTCTTCCTGGAGCGAGCTGAGGAGGCTTCCCCGAGGGAAGAAGAGGAGGTGGTTAGGGGCTTGGAGGAGCTGACCACACCACGAAGGCTGCCAGCAAGAAGAGCTTGAAAACAGGAATGCTGGGATGTGAAACAGCATTAGGAAACACCCCCCCCAACCCAGGTCTAGCCATTCAGCCATCAAACTGCTACTGAGGACTTACTGTGCGCCCTGCACTGCACTATGCCCCGGGGGCACACAAGGCTGACTGACTACGAAGACTGAAAAAGCACACTCAAGGAAAATGTAAACTTTCTGGTTAGATGCTAATGTTCCTTGACAAGGCTAAGGAAAGCCCACTGATTTAGTAGTGAGCAAGATAAAAA